TCGTAAACATGTTTATGTAAACACTGTATGGAAAGGAGAGGCAAGGAAACGTGGCGGCAGGAAAACGCGGGGGCAAGGGGCATACTGATTCAAACTTCCTCGGCGCCGCCGACAGGCGGCGCACGCTCCACTAGTATAGCATTATAGTGGTAGTCAGTAAAACCTAACTTACTTCTGGCGAACAATATATTTCTCTCCACATTTTTTGTTTTCATTGTTCATGGGTTTTTCAATTGCATGGGTCTGAAAATAAAGTGAAAGAAAGCAAGTCGATAATATCTACGTGAATTATATAACAATAAAAGCAAAAGCCCTAAAAACTGGTAAGTAAAAAAATTTACCTGATGCTACCATATCACTACGAGAATGAGAAGAATTGCACGCAACTTGCCAAGATAGTAAGCGGTAAAAGAAGAACTGTTCGCATATATGAGGACAAATCAGGAAGCAGATCACTAGCTAGATACATAAAGTTGGCGAAATGTTGGGCTCCGGTTATACTCACGGAAGTGCCCATCATAAATCAAACCGGATTAATATTTTTATTAGTCAGGTAACCAACTTGGGCATTGATATATTTAAGGGATATAAGAAGACATCACAGATCCGATGAGTTGGCAGCACACAAAAATTTCTTCAGGTGAGATGAAGTTTGTTACTTTCCCTAAAAATAGATGCGATATATGGCATATTGAAATCATAAATGAGATTTTTCACATATTTTTACCACAACTCCGCGCCAATTTGAACAACAACTACGGATTTAACCCCTTAAGCGTGTCGCTTAAGCCTAAACCAAAGCATGGTCACTTCTCTGTATCAAATTGGTATTCAAATAAAATCTGTGAGATTCGAAATCTGTGAAAAAAGTAAATATCTTCTGTGCCAATGGATTACATTTTCATACAGAATGCCGATAAATTTGGATCAGCAATTTTCCGAAAAGCGCCATTAATAAGCAATGGCGGTTGATTACATGAACAAATTCAGATTCATAGATATTTCACCACTATTTATTTTTCCACAATAGTTCGTAACAACGCTTTAACATTCTATAATCATTCCATTGCACGTTTTTCTCTGCAGATATAGGGGATTTTATGGGTATTTACTTCCTCGGTATATAACACGGTAGTTACATAAGGTATGGGCGAGTTCCATTTCTCATAGCTCCATCTTTTGGCCAAGCTTTCAAATTGTTTAGGCGCGAATTTTGAACATTATTTTTGACTTTAAAATCTTTAAGTGAAACTAAAGTTTTTCTTATTGCTATTATGTTCTTATAACATTCTTTGTTGATTTATTTCATACAAATTCACTTGGTTGAAGTTTGAAGACATTTTATAAGCAGTAATAACGATAAAAGAAATTTGGAAAGCTTTTGATTCCATTGAAGAGCTATTCGAAAAACAGTGTTCAAATTCGCGCCAAAAAATATGAAAGCCTGGCCAAAAGATGGAGCTATGAGAAATGGAACTCGCCCATAATATAAGATTATAACATCTAGACCTTTCACGAAAAATATTTACTAAAAATCAACAGGTTTGTAAATTCTGTTTTAGATACTGTTTAAACGGTTATGGGTGGAAACAGTATTACAAAACCAGTACGGGGTAATACCAGTCCTGCAGACACAGTCCCGGTAAAAACTAATTGCTTAAAATGACCCTAGGACTAAGACTAAGATTTGGCCCTAGGCATAAACTTAAGCTTTTAGAGCTTAAGCCTAAGCTCAAAGCTTAAGCCAAAGTTATTCGCCTAAGTTTTAGGGTTATTTTATGCTATTATATTACTCTAAGCTTGAGCTTAGTTATCTTAATTAATAGACCGAAAACCTGAGACTGTTTTTAGCCTGTGATTAGCCAAAGCCATGACTAAATAAATAAACATAATTTTAACGCGAAAGAACATTACTTAAGGCCACCCCGATTAATATCACACCATCGTTTCTCTTTTTCTACTGGATGCTATACTATGGTTTCTTTCCAGAAATTTCTTGAAATTGTGCGACGCAGAATCAATTTAGACAGGTAAATTTAACACCTCAAGTTCGCATTTCCCGCAAAAAGTTACCATAATTAGGTCCATTTAAAAAATAAGCACCCCTAAGAATGGGCCTCTGAAAAATGAAATAAACATCCCTAAGAATGCACTCTCAAAAAGTGTTCTCAGACATACTTCCCGGCAGGTTTTTTACAAAACTTTTTTACAAAAAATTTAATGAAAATTGAGTTGTTTTTTTATTCGAATTTTTCACCATTTTACCTTTTGAAAATTTGTGATTAGTGCATCGAAGTAACCCAAAAACACTTAGACGCGGAAAATATTTGCAACTTAAAAATGACCGAAACCGAGACCGAATTTTATAAGAGAAAAGAACATACAAACAGGAAAACAGGCGAAAATTTTGGAAAAATATCAACGTACAACAGAAAATGGAAGGAAAATTAGCGCATAATTTTTTTTATGAAAGTTGAGTTGTTTGCGAAAAATTTGCATTGAAAATTTTTAATATTTAAAAAGGACATTATTTTGCTCGGCGGTGCCGCCGAATGCATTCTTAGAAGTGCTTAGTTTAGTTAGGGTCGGTCCGGTTTGGTCCGCCGGACCGGCCCCGCCTTCCAGCATTTGTGGGAAAGTTGTAAGTAAATGTAATGTCTAAGGTAAAAATGTGAAGGTAAGGATGGATCAGATAAGGTAAAGATAGCTACATGCCTAAATAAGCAAAAATATATCACCCCCACCGGGGTTTGAACCCGGGTCTCTGGATTCGGAATCCAACGCCTTTCCACTAGGCCATGGGGGCGGTTGAACATATGCTAATCTTTGCTTGGATCTAACTCGCCTATTGTGGCCAAATTTGATTTAGCAGGCATTGCTTTAATAGCTAACGAAGAGAGGCGAAGCGATCGATAAACGCCACAGCAGCAAAGTCGGCGCTTCATCGTTTATAAACGAAATTAATAAAACTTATTTTCTCTATAACACAGCCAATATCGGTCGTAAATATATGCAAAACGCGATTTAGTACATAGTTCCAAAATGTCGTGCACGCTTATTTGCCTGTTAATTTTATATTAAAATTCTATGTTCAATTTTGCTAAAATTGCTCACAGGATCAATTTTCATTGACATGTTGTGGAGATCTTCCTGGATGATGTCAAAATTATCATGAGCATTAATAGAAAAATCGTTATCCTGTGAGATCGAATTTTCCAAAATTTATATGGAAATAGCATTATACTTCTCCATTAGTTTACCACGAATTTGCAAAAATAGACTTAATTTTCTGAATTTGAACACATTTTAAACTTTCCTGGATTCAAACTGTTGAGTAAACAGTGTACCCTAAAAATTTTGGCAAAATTTTCTTCGTTTATTCTAAAAATCGAAACTTGTTGTAGAAATACAGTGACGGACAAAAGTTAGTTCCAATTTTTATTTTGTCCATAACTTTTTTTCTAATGTACTATTTTTTGATCTGTAAAAAGTATGTTATCTTAGGGGTGTATATTTCTGTCTGTGAGGTTTTGTCCCCCTTTTTCGGGGAAGGCATTTTTAGGGGTGTATATTTCTGTCTGTGAGGTTTTGTCCCCCTTTTTCGGGGAAGGCATTTTTTCTGTTATCGATGGCATACTGATACACACTGGAGTCCTGTGGTCGGTCGCGGAGCGCCCGACCCTCCCCCTTGGAATGTGAGGGAACTTAGAGCACAAAAGGGTATAACCCAATCTTTACCCATAAACGAGCCACCGCAGGTGGCGAGCCAGTCCTGTGGTGGGGCGCGGGGCGCCCGACCACAGGACTCCCGAACAACCCTTACTCCAAACAACAGCTGCTTGAGGGCCGAAGGCCCGAAATAGTCTCATGCTGCTCTACTACCGAACAACCCAATCTGACCGCTGATGGCGGTGCGCGAAGCGCCGCGGATGCACGCTAACCGCTTCCTAGCGAAGTGAGGGCCGCGAAGCGGCCCCGCTTCGCTAGTTTTCTATATTTTTGCTTGTGCAAACGCGTAAAGTGCGTGTACTCACTCACATATCATTCATTTCTTTAGGGAAAAGAAAATTTAGCATTGCATTTAAATATTTTCTTTCATCTGAAATGGCCGACAGAATCATTAAATTGTTATGATTTTTATTTGAGAATATTTTGCTCTCTAGTCACTGAAAACAGTGCAGCGGACTCAAAATTAGGATGCTTATTTAGTTGATAATTTCTGCAACAATCTACTAAAAAACTTGAGTTAAGTCAGATTTTGCACTCGTATAGGTTTCGGACCCACCGATTTGAGGCCAATTTGAACTGTGGTACCAGATCTCACATTTATCCTATTTTTGATATGGAAAATGTCAGAATGCCAGAAACAGATGCTACAGTACATTTAACACCAAAACTGACTTCAAATTCGAAATCGGTGGGAACAAAAACCTATAAGGGTACAAAATCTGTTAAAATAATACAACAGATATCGACTCAGTGTTTAAAGATTCAGCCATTGCCCAATTCTTTTACTTGTTTAGTTTCCAGAAATGCTATATGGATGTCTTTTGTGCTAAAACATACATTGAAAACGCAACTTACACCAATAGTAATAGGTAGTAGTAAAATTTTGATGTTTATTGCACACACAGAAATTGCAACATGTCAATTTGAAGCAAAGACAAAAAACAATTTATATTGTTCAGGATCATGAGTCTGAATTGTTCTCTTCGAAATCGATTGTCAGTGTTTTTCCCAATATTTTGAGCGTGTTCGGAGACCTTTTATCATTAGCCGACGCTTCTTTAGATCTTGCTGATGGCATAGGAGGTGCATTGTAGAATCGACCGCCGAGACTCAGCCTAGGTTTTGGTGCGTTTGTCGAGGCGTTGTCTAAAAATACATATAAAAGTAATCACTGAAAGTCTAAGCATAAATGTTTAATCGATGAAATAAGCAAATTTAACAAGAAGAAACATTGACATATGAGACAGTTTGGGTCTAAACCCGAGGAAAAACAAAGCTTTACCAAATCGAAAGGTTAGCTAATAAACACTCGACTATTAATTAGCACTAAGATGCATTAAAACTCACCGCCAGCTAATCGGTTAAAGAAACAGGAAATAGAGTTGCGCCTTTCATCGAAGTCATTTGGTTTCAAAGCAGCGAGACTGCTCCCATCGGCCCACTCCTCTTGGATCGACTCAAATTTATCGGCGGTTTCCTCTTGTATCTCGAAAAGCCGCATGAGAAACTGCTGTTCTTCTTCGCATACTTCTTCGTGCTCAATTTCCATTTGATTCGGGTCCTGGGGCGATTTGTCACCGAAATCGTTTAGACCACACGCTTTCAGGACATCTTGCTCGGCAAGTTCCTCGGTCTTCATCTTGAGAGACGCACATCGAGTGTTTGTGTCAGCTTCGGAGAGAATTGTTTGCCTAAGAGTACAAATGTTTTAATTATCCCAGATTTTTGATTTGAAATTAACTGTTTTTATCTATGCATCACCAGATAGTCAATTTCATAAATGTATTGTTTTCAACTTGATTAAAGGTCATGTGATGACAACAACTTACCATATGTTCATCGACGGCGAAGTCATAATTCCGATTGTTTGTCTCAAGAAAGCACCTGAAATACAACGATTACAATCGCAAAATAAGTGAGAGCCTTTTGGTAACAATTTAAGACTCAACAATTTAAGATTCAAAACAACAAGGACGGTTCGTGACGTTCATTCAACTAAGTATTTTGATAATGAGAGGCTAATGGTTCTGAAGTTCTAGAGTATTCTTTCATGTTCGATTCATTTGGTTTTCATTTTAAATTAGAATTGAACCTTGCGTGATAGAGTTTCACTAAAAGATAATGAAATATGAAAATAATCAAAAGGCGCATGAAAGGAGGGTGGTGAGTTGAGACAACGTGAAAAATAGTTGTGAAAATATTTCTACAATACTTTCGACAACCATCACCAACGAAAACGAAATTCGAGAGTTTATATTAAATTTGTTCGTTACGACATTCATCGGAAATGGAGCAAGAGAGTTTTTGTTGCATTTGGGGTTTTGTGCCAAAGTTGAAATTTTTGGAAAACTACAATAGAAAAATGTCTAAAAATGTTTCGTGCAAGAAAGCGAAGAGCGAAAATATGGATCAAGGATGACAACTTTGTTAAATTTCTTCTTTCACGAATAAATTTTTGCCAAATTTCTAACAAACACGAAAATGTGGGCTAGAGAGGCGGGAACTTTAGCATTTTTATAAAAATGAAGTAAACGAATGTTACCGAGTAAGGACTTTTACAGGTCTCGGTGAATAAACTTAGATTTGTTATGATATAATGTGTCAGAACTGGAAATTGCAAAGTTTTACAAGCAATTTCTGAAATGCTCCGCGTTGGAGTGATGGTTAGAAATCGCATCTAAATAAATATTGCTTGTGATAATTCCCTTTGTTGAACAAAGACATTCCCCATATCAAAGTTTTATGCTCTGATCGTGTTTACGATGACTAGCACAAAAACGCCATCACTGCGTTTTTACTTTACCATTTACATATTTCACAATTTATTTGATTCCTTTCTTTCAATAAATTTATTTCACAATCGCTTACAAGTACTAATAAACCGAAGAAAACTTATTTTCTGAACAATGGTTCGTATACTCATGTTTCGATGGTTCTGCAAAGGAAGAATTTATAAAGTAATCACTTGATAATGCCAGTGAATGTTCTTGTGCGCAAAACTGCAAACTGGAATTCATTTCCACTTAAGATCCTTACTTAAATATATAAAAATGAGAAGGGGTCGTACTTGGCACTTTAAAATTTTGAGAATTTTGTTTACAGCTTCTTCAAATCCATTTTTGATTTTGTGTAACAACTCCGTAAGTATGTCAATATTAGGATTAACCTTCTTGTATTGCAATCATGTTCTGTGTATTCTTATGCCGGAAAGTGACAGACAGACGGACAATTTATAGTATGATCTATTTCAATTTTAGAGATTGCAGTACAAATGGACGATTTCGACCAGGATATTGATTTTGACGGTGAATGGAACCAGCCGACAGTAACCGCTGGTTATGTCGCAGATGCAACGACGCCAAAGGCGCGTTTATCAGTGGGTTCAGGACAAGAGCACGGACCGAACTCTTTTCAGGTCGATAAAATATTTATGCCAGTCCCAATCCTGAAATTGTGCCACATTCCAATGGAAAATGACGATGATCAACTCCCGGATCCGAAATATGTCATAAAGCACTACGAATTCAGTACGGTTGGTGATTTTAACTTGTTTTGATAGGTTTTTGGCCAAATATAGCAAAAGTCTGCAAGATATCTCCGTATATGCAAATATGCTTTCATTAGTTAGTTTTCTATGATCGAAAGCGATTCAGGACTATAGCATGATAAAATTAATGATTCTACGAACCGAGATGCTCTTAATACAACTTAGTTTCTGTTTCCATCTTGCGGATTTTAATAATCCGGACTTGACTTCGGGACTGATTAATCTAGTACTGTTACCTACGTCTTTTTTCAGGTGCTTACAATCGGGATAGTCAAGAATGTGCACTGCGAAAATGGCTGCGTTACTTACACATGTTGCGACGCAACGGAAATAGAAATCAAAAAAGTAAAAGACGACGAATGCTTCACAATTGTTCGCTATGGCGGCGTAGATGTAAGTAAAATAAAACTTTTTGCTAATAGTTGAAAATATTTCTTGTATGCTTTGTCTCTTTGAGAAAAGGAAAGCTATCTCGCCGTTTTGTTTGCGTCATTAAACTAAATGGTCAAATATTAAAATCCATATATTTC